AACAGACACGTCAAATTTTGCTATAGGTGCCATGTTGTCACAAATGGGAATAAATGACAAATCCTACCCAATAGCTTTCTATTCGAGAAAATTTTCAGCAGCCAAGATTACTTATGAGATCCAAGACAAAGAGCTCATTGTAATCGTGGATTCATTTCAAGAATAGTATCATCATCTAAAAGGCACCTCAAGTCCAATTATCGTATATACAAACCATAAGAACCTCGAGTACTTCATGTCAGTATGTATCTTGAATTATCGTCAAGCTCATTGGAGCATGTCTTTATCTAGATTCAATTTCAAGATCACTTAATGACCTGAAAAATAATAAGACCTATTGGATGCTCTTTCTATATATTCTTATCTTGCATCAAAAGAAGGAGATGCATCTTTTGATCAATAAAGATCAATTCTCTTGAAGCCCGATCATATTCATCTTCAAGCTATAAAATCAACATTGACTGTTGATTCAATATTTGTGAAGCAAATTCAATCAAGCATGTTCTCTGATCCTCTTCTTCAAGATATCAAGGATACTTCTTCTAAGTCCCATGATATTTCCAAGTTTGAATTCAAGAATAATCTATTATATTTCGAAGGACGCCTATATGTTCCAGAAGATGAAGCTCAATTAATTATTCTTCAAGCTCATCATGACTTTCCAGCAGCAAGACATTTTGAGCATAATAAAACTTTGAAACTAATATCTAAGGATTTTTGGTGGCTGCAAATATGGAAGGCAGTCAAAGATTTTGTACAAACTTGTGATATTTGCTCAAGATCAAAAACTCCTCGTCAACGACCTTATGGACTTTTTCAGTTGTTATCCATTTCAAAACAATCATGGTCTTCTGTTTCTATGGATTTCATCATAGATCTTCCAATCTTAGGTTCTTATGACTTTATATTCGTGATAGTAGATTGTTTAATCAAGATGACACATTTTATATCATGTAAAAAATCTATCACAGGTGAAGAAACAACTAAGCTTTGTATTGACAATATCTATCGCTATCATAGATTGCCAAAGGATATTATATCGGATAGGGGGACTCAATTTTTATCAAGATTTTAGAGAAATCTATTCAAGATTCTAAAGGTGGATATAAAGCTTTCTTCAACTTTTCATTCTCAAACTAATAGACAAATAGAATGGATAAATCAAGTTTTGGAGCAGTATTTGAGATATACCATCAACTATCATCAAGATGATTAAACAACTCTTTTACTATTGGCAGAGTTTTCATATAATAATTTGGTACATTCTTCCACTCAACAAATACCTTTCTTTGCCAATTATGGTTATCATCCAATCTTGGTACTTTTGACTTTTCAAAAGTTGATAATCTTACGATAGAAGATTTAGTAAATCACTTCTCAGAGCTATATACAAGAATGAAGATATAATTAAAGGAAGCTCAAGAACGAAAAAAGACCAACATGGATGCCTAACATAAGAAACAACCAAAATATAGTATGGGTGACAAGGTATGGTTATTTTGTCGTAATATCAAGACTACTCATCCTTGTGATAAATTAGATTATTGTAGGCTGGGACCTTTTTCTATTTGTGAATAAATCAATGTTGTTGCCTATCGATTACATCTACTAGAGTCTATAAAGATCCACCTTATATTTCACGTATCTCTTCTAGAGCCATATAAAACAGTGAATATCTTGGAAAATAGATAAATATCACCTCTTCATATAAAAGTGGATAATAACCAAGAGTTTGAGGTGGAAGAAGTCTTAGACTCAAGGTGGTACAAAAATAGGTTGGAATATCTTGTTCATTAGCACAGATATGATATTAGTGAATGCACATGGCAGCCATCAAAGAATCTTGTAAATGCAGCAAAGAAAGTTGAAGTCTTTCATCAATGACATCCATCAAAACCAAGATGAAGAATAACAAACCTTTGCTATAAAAGAAAAAAGACCAAATGAAAATAACATTCTATCTTTTATCTTTCATTGTAGTTTCTGTGTATTTGTGATGAGATAGAGCACCAACAACTAGTAGATTCAATTCAAGAGCTTTCATTTGCAGACTTACCAAACGAGACATTGTGATTGTCACAACCTTCAAGACGATAGAATCAAGATGAAGATCCTCAAGAACGACATGTCCTTCCTCAAATAGATGATAAGATATAATGTGTTTGATATCACGACCTTGGAAGAGACTCCCGATGTTTAGTGATTTTATTAGAGGTAGCAACAATTCTTAATAGTGTTCTAAATGTTTTATTTGAAGGAAGTTATGAAGGCCTCAACAATAACCAAATTATAGGGTGGTCTTCTTGCCCTGGTATGAGACACTATAGATGGTTGATAAGACTAATCAACCATCTTCAAAGAGAGCAAAGATCAGAGTATGTAGCAAATATAATTTACCGCATCTTGGACTTCCTCAACATATGAAGACCGCTCCTCATGGAACTCGTTCTTAGAAGGGGGGGTAATGTCACAAAAATATATATTTACTTCAATAGTTACTTATATGATTAAGTAGAAGTAGGTAAATATAGAATAATTTCATAAAGTCTTCTAGAGAAGCCTCCTAGAAGCTTTATAGACACGGTTTTGATTTTAGATGTATTTATAAGTTAGAAACTTGGCCAAAAAGCTAACCATGTATTGATAGCTTGTGGAGCAAGTTATCTCCGTATAATAGCTTGTGGAACAAGCCAACTACATGGCACATACATAGATAACTTACCTTTCAAGATAAGATATGTGGCTAGGAAAGTCAACACATGTTGGAGGTCTTATAGGACATCGCCACGTAGCTCTTAGTTATATAGTATATATGGAGGCAAGAGTGAAGCCTTCTTCACTCTTGTCAACACCTTTCTAGTCTTAGTCTTGTTTTAAGACTTTCTAGACTTCTTATTTTTAATAATAGCCATTCTAGTTAATTTTACATCACCTTTTGAGAGACTTTCTAGTTCCCTTCAGTGATAGAAGAGTGTATTGAGGATTCTCTTTCTTCAAGATTCATGTCCTTGATATTGTATCATAAGCAAAAGTGCTTTAAGACTTGCATTACTATGAAATCTTGCAAAAAATCCTTCAATTTCAGTAGTTCTATGAAATAAAGCATTCAACATGTTTATAATAATATCAAACTTAGATTCAAGAGACTCAATTACACTAACATCTTTACCTCCAACCATCTTAAAAGGAAAAAGAGAGTTTTTAAATAATACCAAGTTAAAAGAAGGTACTTTGCAATCTCTAAAATGCTTACATGACTTCAAAAAGAAAGATAATGTAGTTTCTATCAAGAAGGATTAAGCTCTAATATTGATAAGAGAACAATCTTGACAAACTATCATGCATACACTATACGGGAGACTAAAAAATGAATTAAACAAAAGAGTTTCAACAAAAAAACTAATAAGAACTTGATTAAATCGGATGAGTACAAAAACAACACTATGAAAGGTAATCTACAACTCCAAGAGATGTGTTGTTGAGATTGAGGATTCCATCAATATTGACTCCAATATATATTAGGTATTAAGAAGCTTTTTGAGAAGTTCCCATATTGTTTGAAAATGAAGCAACTTTAAGAAGTTTCTTGAGAATTTTTCATATTGCTTGAAGATGAAACAATCTTAAGAAGCTTCTTACACAACTTCTTTAATACTCTTAGAACTTTCTAGAGTTTATTAGAATATTCTAAGAACCTTCTAAAATATTCTAAAAATATTTTAGAATCTAATAGAATATTCTAAAAATATTTAAAAAATCTTCTTGTTGAATGTTCGTAACAATAGCTTTGTTAGTTAAGGTTGAATATTCAACTAATTATGTCATGTCAATTTTTTGATGTTAAGACAATTAGAAGTTTTGTTTGAATTTCCATCCATTTAGAATTATTAAAAGCATAGATAGAATATTTTAGAATGTAATAAAGAAAAAAAGATTTATTTAGATTCATTTTTTTAGTGATGTCAAGTGATTTTAGATAAGTTTTTACGGTGATTCCAAAAAGAACTAGAATAGAGATTGTGTCATCTTCAATAAAGAAGTCTAACCAATAGAGATATGTTTACAAAAAAATATTTATGAAATTGTTGCTTATGCTATTTATGCCAAGTTTGGAGATAAAACATTTTTGAATTGGTTTTTTGCTCTTGGTAAAAATAAACTCGTAGCTATTGGTTATCCACCAAGCATGTTCTTAGGTGAGTTATAAATCTTTGATTCAATTGATAAGACATACCTTAGAAGACGGATTGGCACAAAAGACAAGGAGTTTTGGAGAAAATATGTTATTTTTGATTGCTTGTAATGATGAAATTTCTATAATAAATAAATAAAAAGAAACATTAGAAGCAATATTAAGAAAAAATTGAGAATTTTAAAGTGTGGACAAGGTTGACATAGCATAAGAAGCAAAAATGGTTCTTTTAAAATATTTAAACATGTTGTATATAAGCGAGTAGTCTCCTCATAAACTCATGCTAAATGTTGATACTTTTATAATATAATCCTGATTGGATAAGTAGGCTTTGAAATAAAATCCAACTACTAGTAAAATGTTTTACTAATAAAGTCATTGAAGTTGAGGTATTGATGGAAAAAGAAACATTGCCATGTTACATTTATTTCTGGTTTAAGATGATAAACACATTTGTTTTTTTTTTGTTTTTTTTGTTTTTTATTTTATTTTTTGTTTTTTTCATAATAATAAATTTTTGTTTCAATTGAAACAAAAACTCAAATGTTTATATAATTTTAAAATTGATAATTTCACATGATCTAAACAGTTTTCATTCAGTACAAAAAACAGTCTCATTCATGAAAACCAAATCACAAAAATTCTAATAAAACAAGAAATGTTAACTATCTACCGATAATATGATTACAAACATGACCACAAATATTTGCTGACAATTTCATCACAAACAACACATTTATACCAACGTTTCAAACAAGCTAAAGCTGTTCCAATGTCTTGTACATTAGTAAATATCTACAAACGAATAAACAAATTTAATGCACTTTTATTTCCAGATATGATCATGCATATAGAAGTCTTATGCACTTCTTCCAGGCTGGCGGCAAGCAGAAGGCAAATGAGTTGCCCCACTCTGAGAACGTTGAGAATGAGAGGGCAATTAATACTCCAAACAAGCAATGACCAAATGTGGCAGCAAGAATTTTCATTCTATCAAATAACTGTAAACCGAGTCACATCATTGCAACATCATGCTGCACATGCATAAATTCAACCAAGAGACTCACTTGATACAGTATCCTTCGATGGTTGCAACGAAAATACAACTGCATCGCCTGTAGACTCCAGTCTTTGCTGCATAGTAGTGAACATACCAGATGAACAGTAGATAAGGACCTGCATCTGTCATACTTCAGAAGCAATTAGTATTGACCTAATGCAAGCACATACACAGCTACGACATCTGGAGCGTTCAAGCGATATCCAACCTAATCATCTGCATCATACTCTTAATGTTCTGATGAGGAATGCGGAGTGTGGTTCACTGATGTCCAATGACAACCCTGGTTTAAAAAAACGCAGAATCAGGCTAAAAATTCCTTGTATGCACATCATGCCAAGTATGGGCTTCTAAATGCAGCTGCTGAGGAATAGCATACAGATCAAACACATCAGTCTACCGTAGTCTTTTGAGGCCAATGATGCACCCTGCAGCATCAATAAACAGCGGTGAAATGTTTCAAGTCCAGTAAGACAAAAAGCATCCTGACCCACCCGTTGCAGGCACGAATATGGGAAGCTAGACCTATGTTGTGCACCACTAAATCCAGTCTTCTTGCTGTAGCTTGAGAGGCAGGTACACCTCGGAGAGATACTGAAATCCGAAGGAACTAAGGGCTTGAATTTCCGCCTTCTCCTTGGTCTTAACCATCAGTTCCAACTCCTTAACCCAGTTCTTATCCTTCTTGATAAAATCTTCTTCAAGCATATCCTTCCCGGTTTTTATATCCTGGTCTGACATGGGCAAACGACACTGCTCGGGAATCTTGTACTTGTTCAAGTCACTGGGCCGGACGCCGAGCCACTTGATGTCAGGAGTAGTCAAATTGGAGCTGTCATAAGACATATTTTTGGATCCAGACATGTAAACCGAGAGAATTTTGAGACCATAAGGATCACTATCAACCAAACCCAGTACTGGGAGTTTCAAATCGGTCTTCATTTTCTTCAAAAACAGCCGTGTTGCCACATCCGGTTGCCCTTTTGCAGTGAGTATAACACAAGGGAAACGGTTGTAAAATCGATCTTCTGCCAAACGCATGAAGGCAGCATCCTTCTCTACAAGAAGAATAAAGAGAGCATCACTCTCCATGCCTTGAACCTTGTCTATGTTAGGAGGAATTGCCTTTCCACCTACTCCCATCTTGGTGCAGTCAATTCGATCCCCATCTTCGATAAATATTAGCCGTCCCACTACAACTCCTTTCTCAGAGGCGACAACGTTAAGACTTGACCTAGTGCATCCCAACATGCATGAGACATCATCGAGAATAGTATCACTCTGCCCTTGCTCCTGGAATAGCTTCACGTCAGTATAGAACAGATCACGCTTCGTAACATGGATTTGTTTCGTACAGAGCTGATGGACAAGCTGTAAAATTCGAGTGGTGATGGCCGTCTTTCGAACGCTCGCAATATTGGCAAATTGACGGAATGAGGCCTTGTCCTTAAGCACAATGCGATCCAACTCGGGCACATACAGCTGATTCGCACTTGATCGTGAAGGAATCAGATACCCGAAGCCATTGCCACTAAGAATAGACTTAGCGATCGCCAAGATGCTCTTTTCAACCTCAAGTACAACACTTCGAGTGTTGAGCTCGACTACCTCCTTGCAACTATTAGCAAGATTTAGGTCTGCAAGAGTGCGTGTTTCTACGTCTGCCTCCTTCGCAGCCTCGGCAAATTTGGTCACGATTTTAAGAATATCGGGGTCAGACTTGAGCTTCTTCTTGAAAGCAAGTGCAGCCTGCGTTTGCTTTCTCGGACCATCACTTGACATTCCCAGGATATCATCGTCGACTTCCTCCTCCCGAACTGCTTTGCGCTTGTCCGACATTCCCTCAGGGAGGAAACTACTCAATTTCTAGGCACCAGGATAGACTTCGCTTCGAAGCACAATAACGTCCAGGGTTGACTGCAAGACCTAGAGCAACCGCCTGAAAATTCAGAGAGGAACTTTGAAAACATAGAACTTCAGGTCGCAGCCAAACTGCAAAAACTGAAAATAGATCGGCATTCCTACTTCACCATTAGTCTCTCTATTTAGCACGCACTAAACGCATGAACTAGAACATGTTAAAGTATAATTCGACACCTTGAACTGAGGGTGATCAAAATCTCAAACAAAATTCGGCAGGGTGAATCGCATTTAATTTGAATGGTATGGGAACAACAGCACAAAAAGTCACAAATTTTCTCCTGAAACTAGCAAAGCCCTGATACGTAAGTGGTGCTAGGTTTGTGAACACGGCCATGGTCAACGCTGGAATAACACGGGATCAAATTAACGAAAAAATGCAACAGTAAAAAGACACGAACAAATGTGACCACTCCAACAGACAGAAATGTGAGATGGGTGCAAATCTTACAAAACCTCAGCAGGAATTCTCCCCAAAAGAGCAAGGAGGAGGACAGAATGGGGCAACAAAAGCATTTGAAAGTAACATAACATAGAGAAAACGGGCTGTTGCATGTAAAGACGATCCAGATGAGCGAGGGAGGAAAGAGAAGTAGAAATGGTACCTGCGACCAAGTATCGATGAGATGTAAGCAAATACAGCAGAAGAGTAATTACACGAAATCGCCAAATCAGTGGCTTTCGGATACCAACACGGACTTGCGTGTGGGAACGAACGGGAAGCTACTGCAGCTCCGCTAGGTCACAGAAATGGATGAATTACTATACGTGGTTGTCGACAGGAATGTGGTTCCCACCTTCCGGTAACGTCGTTCATCATCTGTAGGGTTTGATGGGGCTTAATGCTGACGGATGAAACTGAAAGGCTCCATGTTGTTGGAAAGTCCTTTGAGCAACATAGGGTCTCTGGGTCCCTAGAAGTCTCTTTAGTTTTCCGAGAATACACTGACTTGCATTTCAGATTCCGACACAATTTCGTTTTGCTTGACGTGGATGAGTGAGTGATTAATTTCAGGAACGTGCTGCCCACTCCGAGTAACAGGTGCGATCACACACTGAACTTGTAGTTCTCGCTCCCATCAGCTCACTTGTCCCCGTTCCACCTTTTCCGTTGCATATTTGTACTGGCTCGTAGGATTGCCCGTATCTTTGTTTTGCAGAGTTGTGGTTCTCCGCAACTAGTGTCTGGATGTGCAGTTGATTACCTCAGCTTCCGACTTAGACTGTCGGATGTAATAGGATGCAGATTGTGGGTTCAATTGCTTTCATCTCCTCGTCGAAGTGATCTAGGGTTTTGATAAACGATGCGGGAAAGTTTGCAAATGCTCATTATCTTGGGGACAATTGTGCAAGGGTTCAACCTGAGTTAGAGAATACGGATTTGTGCGTCCAGATTTGTGATGTTTAGAAACGAGGAGCATGAGGTTGTCACCGCTTAAGTAGCATAAATGAGAATTTGTATTTCAGGAAAGTTAGGGTATTGTAATGAGAACCCAGTCATCGTGGTTTACGATTTGTAGTTTGAGTAGGGTTTCGAGGAGTGTAAATTTAGCTTTCTGATTCCACCCGAGTCCGAGTAGGTATTAGAGAGGCCTACTAATTTGGTGCTTTATTGCGCTGGCTCTTCTGCTGTATTTGCTTACGTCTCGTCGATACTTGGTCACAGGTACCATTCCCACTCGTCTTTCATCCCTCGCTCATCTGGATCGTCCTTGCATGGAACTTGCCATTTTCTCCATGTTACTTTCAAATGCTTTTATTTTCTCATTCTCTCCACCTTCTTGCTCGTCTGGGGAGGATTCCTGCTGAGTCATTTAAAGATTTTCTTTCATTTCCCAATTTGTCTGTTGGGGTGGTCACATTTGTTCGCGTCTTTGTACTGTTCCATCGTTTCGTGTTTTTGATCCTGTCACATGCTCCGTGCTACACCAGCGTTGGCCACGGCAGTGTCCACTAACCTAGCACCACTATCTTTTCGATGGTTTTTACAAGGATTGATCCTGAAATGGTGGTGCAGCAGGTTGCAGAACTTTTTAGCAGTTAAGTCTTGAAAACAGCAAGATGCCGGCCACGGCAGGCCGAGTGCGCATGCCCGCAAACAATCGGGTGCATTCGAGTGCCGCCCTTCAGACTCATGGTATCTGGCAGAGCGCTATTGGGTATGACCCTTATGCACCGGATAAAGTGCAGCGTCAAGATGACCGAAGCGTACCAGATCCAGCTGCTGGAGGGGGTGCAAGTGCTGCTGATGAGCAAAATGCATATGATTCGTTTCAAGGTGAAAAGCTTTACCACGATGTCGAACATTTTCATGTTTAATTGCCAGTTTGCATCTAACCCTTCAATTGATTGGTTCTCATCTGTGTACGAATAAGAACTTACATAGAGGTGCGAACTTCTGCCCATGTCAAATATGCTAGCTGTGCACGGCTGCTGCTTCCTAATTCCTATTGTTGTTAATCTGTATTCTTCTTTTTAAAATTGTTGCATTATGAGTTTTCATTGTGGAGCTCTGAGTTCTTATTATCTCTGGACCTTCTTATATTTTTTTAATGTGTTGAGCAATGGTGGTCGTATTCTTTCATGTACTTGTGGTGGGGCTCCATCGATACTTTGGGAGTACTTATGCCTTTTGTCTTTAAAACGATATACAGGTCTCCTTGCGTTGGCTCGTTTGACGGGTTCAAATGCAGATGAAGCACGGGGCTCCTGCCAAAAGTGTGGAAGAGTGGGTCACTTGACGTTCCAATGCAGAAATTTTCTTACTGCTAAAGAAGAAGCCGCCGCTGCTGCAGTATCAGCCCTAGAGAGAGAACGAAACAGTGCGAAGTTTGAAGGCGCTGGGAACTTGCTTGCGGAATCGTCGTCCTCAGAGGAGTCCGAGATTTCTGATAGTGACGAGGACTCTGAGATGGAACGAGCTTTGGCAAAATTGGGAAGAAGTAAGAAAGGATCATCCTCTGTACCTGATCGGAAACTATCAGAATCGAAACATTCGAAATCTTCATCAAGGAAGTCAAAAAAGAAAAGACATGTCTCCTCTTCTGAATTCAGTGATGAGAGCTCGGACGGCTCTCGGGACAGGAAACGACACCGTAAGCACAGGCATTCGTCAAAGAAAAAGAGTTCCAGTAGGCGACACAGGTCAAGGCGTACTAAGGATGACTCTGATACCGATCCCAGCAGTGATGTAGAACCCGAATCTCGCCACAGACATAGCAAGGGTCGACACCTCAAGGATCGCAAAGATAGGAGGTCAGAGAAGAAAAGAGATGCTGATTACAGTGATCATGATGACAGGAAGAAAAGGAAAGTTGAGAAGAGCAGGGATGTTGAGGAGGGTGAAATTGAAGACCAACGAGAAAGAGTAGCGAAGAGACGACATGACGTAGAGAGTGATATTGAAGATCGGAGAGGAAAAAGATCCGAGAAGAGGAGACATGATGTGGACAGTGACCTTGAAGATCAGAGAGAAAAAAGACCCGAGAAGAGGGGACATGATGTGGACAGTGACCTTGATGATCGGAGAGAAATAAGATCCGAGAAGAGAAGACATGATGTGGACAGTGACCTTGATGATCGGAGAGAAATAAGATCCGAGAAGAGAAGACATGAAGTGGACAATGACCTTGAAGATCAGAGAGATAAAAGATCCGAGAAGAGAAGGGACGTTGAGAACAGTGATTTCGAAGATCTAAGGGACAAGAGAGTCGAGAGTACAATGTCACGGATGGAAGACAGTGAAGATGGTGATGAAAGGCATCGTAGGAAGGATCGGGACGAGAGGAGGTCACGTAGAGGAGGGAGTCGTGATCGTAGGCACAAAGAGCGCAGAGAATATCGCTGAGAAGAGCGATTCAAGAGCAGAGCCGAGAGGGAGTACGACAACGAAGTAGTAGATTGAGCTTATGTGTTTTGATTTGGACAGTGCTATGAACTATGAATTAACGACATTGTAAGGTTAGCAGAGGTTTTTCAACTGGGTTTTCCTAACATTCGTTCAACTCCGAGCTCGCGTGTATTCTGAAATGATATGCATTTGAATTCGCTGAGGCTTTGGTTTTGAAATTGCTTCATAATGCTGCCTTTTGTAGAGTTAGTTTATCTATTTGCAAGCTCGTGTTAATGATCTTTAGCTGGGATGATATGAAGTTGCACTATAGCATTGTGTGTTTCATAGTGCTATGAGAATGCAGTGCTGAAGTTCAATTTTGGTAATTCAAGTGTTCTGTAAATTTGGAGCTCACATGCGAAGTGATGTGGAGTTTAATGCATGGAGAACTTAGCCCTGCTTCAAACTTCACGGAATTTAGAAATTGTGCACAAATTAAGCTACTCCATTCGTTGGAACGTTGAAATGAAGGAAGTTGATGAGCTTCATCCTTGACCTCCCACAACTAATAGTCCATTGTTAACACAGAATTGTGTGTCGTCCGATCAATGAAATGTTAAAAAAATATTAAAGCTGCTTTCAGTCTCAAAGCATCAGTCTTCCAGATTCGTAAGCGTTCTAAATTATTTTTTAACACACACTAAGCATGCTTTTTCGAATTTTCAAGTCTACATCCCATTTATTTCATATCCATAGCTATTAAAGTTTTACAATCTCCTGTACAAACAATTTTATTGGGTGCGAAGGCGCCAGGAGGCCAGTCTTACGAAGATGAACTCTTTTGTTAAAAGGTTGGAACTAAATCAGGTCATGTAAACTGTAAATTGAAACAGTCAAATTTAACGAGAACTTTCCAGGTTTAGCACGTACAAGATTTCAATAACATAAATAGTGATGTGGACTCTCTTGTTTGCAACAATATCAATGTAAAGCACTTCTCACTTACAGAGTGCTCAATGGGAGTTGATCTATTTATAAAAATGCGGACGTGCCCGCAGGTCACACATAGCATGCTGTAACACAGTAGAGTATCACTTGGCATTCCAATATTCTGTTTGCAAGTGAACAAGATAAAATCGAGAATCTGTCTGCAATTGACAGTAGTCTAGATCTATGTGGGCTTTTAATTGAAAGTCTTACTGCTTTTGTAGATGGATTAGTCATAGCTCCTGAATACTCTTGTTGAAGGGTTTCGATAGCTCGTCAGCGCTTAAATAGTTTGAAATAGCTGGAAAATTACCCTTGATTACGAGTATGGAACTGTACAATTGATCTTGAAGCAAGACCCATTGAGCACACGAATTTCATGTACCTTCGGTAAAAAATCATCGACAAGAATCTTTAGCAAGACGTGTTGTTCAGTCACTATCCGAGTCAACATCTTTTCTTCTTCGTTTCTTCTTTCTGTTGTAAGCAAGCGCGTAGGTAGAGAGCAAATACGGCGAATTCAGTAGCTCGCGAGGGACCACAGTCCTTGAGGCTTTCAGGAGTGCAACAAGCTCCTTAAACAAAGCTTTACTCTCATCGTTAACAAATACCATTGCAGAACCTGCATTACTAAGCCGTGAAGCCCTTCCGATCATGTGAATGTACTCCTCAATCGAGGATGGAAAGTCAAATATTATCACTTGTGTGACCCTTAACAGATCCAAGCCCCGTCCCAACACTCCTGTAGCCACAATCACTGGTATTTCGCCCATAAGAAAGTTTTTCAATGTTTCCCGACGGTCCTAACATCCACGTAACACAATAAATACAATGTGAGGAGATTCAGTAGCATAGTTTCCAAAAGCACAAAACCCAAGAGAATGTCATCCCTTTTAAAATAAGGATTAGGTCTTAAGGAAGTCACAATATGCCGGGACAGGTACATGTCTCATTCGACATTCTGTGATGATATTGTAAGACTATTAGTAACTTCAGGACAGAACTCAATGAAAGCAAAGTCTCACCTTGATAGACTTCTCCCCGTGTAATGACCTGGCTTGTATGCCAGTTACAGTCCGTATGGCCTCAGCTAGAAGATCAGACCCCATTCTTGAGTTTACAAAGACCACCACTGGAGGTCGGTAATGCACTCGACTCTTCAGAATCTCGAAGAGCTTTTTCTTCTTGTTCTTGGTTTCCACCCATAATATTATTTGATGCACAGCTCGGTTGGGCTGCCTTGGAGTTCCCACCGATATTATTAGAGGGTTTTTCAACAGCGACGAGGAAAACCTCTCAATGGCGGGTAAAATTGTTGCTGAATACATTAGAATCTGCGGCATCGCCAGGGCTTGGACTAACTGCAATACTTGATCTCGAAAGCCGCTTTCCAGCAAACAGTCCACCTCATCAAGTGCTAAAATGCACACACCCTTCATACAAATAGCAACGTTTATCAAAAAAAAATCTGCCGGTTATTTTAGGCAGGCAGGTCCCTCAAAGCCATCAAAAAATGACAGCCGATAAGGAATTTCCAAAAACATAATCTGAACTTCAAAACTAAACAATGTAAGCAATATACAGCGAAAACATCAAGAAAATCAGCAATAGTTCATGATTTCTAGATTTCAACAAAGAGATTCTGTGAGGGATCAACAAAGACACATAAAACCCTGTACCTGCAAAGTCAGATCATCATGCTTTGAAAGGAGATCAATGAGTCGTCCTGGGGTGCCGATGATCAATTCCACACCCTGCTTAATGCGGTGCACCTGTTGGGGCATTGCATCGCCACCTACGACCAGAGCTGTCTTAAACGGTAAACCTTTGGCTAACACCTTCGCCTGCTCCTCCACCTACTCCCGTGACATACAATTACGACAATTAACTACGCAACTTATGTAATAGAGTCAGCTGTGGCGGACATTGCAACAAAACTCCAATTCTGATGCATACGCTAATTTAAAACAAACAAATAACTGACTTGGGCACAGAGCTCTCGCGTAGGCGCCAACACCATGGCTAGGGGTTTCTCTCGCTCTGATAATCCATGGATGCGTATTAGGCAACACCGCATGATTATAGGAAGCAAAAACGAAGCAGTCTTCCCAGAGCCCGTCTCTGCTGACACCAAAACATCACGTCCTTTGAGAGCCGCAGGAATAGTTTGCATTTGAACTGGTGTGGGGGTTTCATACCCTGCAGCTTCAAGATTTCCCTGCAGTTTTGGTAAAAATTTGCAGTCCGCAAACTGCAAGATAGGTCGAGGGGCATCTTCGCCTTTTACAGATACCTCAATTCCCTGGAGTAGGGCATTAACTTGCTCCTTTGACAATCTTGAAACGGATTCGTCCGGTGCCCATTCAGGTAATTTATTCCCCTTATCTGTAACCACTATGCACTCATCTTGCAATCCTTCCGTTGACAGATGCACCACCTTCCTCTCTGGTTTAGGAGCATCACACGCAGCTTGCGGAGTAGAATTGATTTCAGCTAGAATTGCAGCTTTACATTCTAAACTACATATATCATCATCGGTAGCATCGCAGATGTATTCACCATATCGACAACAGACAACGCAAACTGGCTCCCCTGGCTCCGGCTGCCGCTGTTGAGAACTCCTCTGCTTTACTGCTTGGTCTTCTGCAGGGGGAATCGGTCCATCGATAGCAGACATAGTACAATTCAGTACTGAAGAAACCTATGAATCTAAACACAAACGAATTCCTTGCATTGAAACATCAACCCTAATAATCACTCCTGTCTCTCTCCGACATAACCTATCTCATTGTGAACATTATTGTCCTTAGAAATCATCCATCTAAAGTCTTCATCCAAATCAAGGCTGATGAATGTCTTGGTTCAAAGGCAGTTTGCCAGCGCACTGCATTTGCAAGGATCGTTCAATTCACCGCAAATTAGGGTTTGAGATCTTGAGCTTGATGAGTGTCCAAGTGATCGTAGTTTGAGTTTCATCAGCTCGAACTTGTAACGCATAGTGAATCGTTAAGTAAGTTAGGGTTGAATTCGATTGATCTGGGTATAACTCGGATTGAAATTTGCAAGAAGGTATCGATCATGGGGTTGCTGACGATCATCAGGAAAGTGAAGCGGAAGGAGAAGGAGATGCGGATCTTCATGGTGTATGTGTTCAACTCTGCTGTTTCAGCTTGTGATCGGTGTCCCTGTTCTCTAGGTTCGGGTTGATAATTCATTTCTGGTTGATGTCTTCATTTCTCAGTTGGTATGCTGTGGGTTTGATGTAGACGTTTCTTGTGTGCCTCAGAGGGTTGGACAATGCAGGAAAAACAACCATTGTGAAGCGGATTAATGGAGAAGATACAAGTAAAATTAGCCCTACTCTTGGATTCAATATCAAAACCATGCAGTACAATAGGTTTGTTTGTCGGCCCTTTCGTTGCTTCCTTAAGAGCGATTTGTTGTCCTAACGTGCCGGTTCTCTTGATTATTCTCTCCTTGATATTCATTGCAGGTGGAGTGGTCTCTCTTTTTCGTGCCTGTAAAATCGTACTTAAGGACCTGTTTTCACTATTGCTTGTTACATGGTTCTTTCGAGCTCTTTGCTTGAAATTTTAGTCTTTTATTCACTAAAACTTCCATATGAAATTGAAATAGTTTCCGCCTCAACATTTGGGACATTGGCGGGCAAAAGACTTTGCGATCTTACTGGAGAAACTACTATGAGCAAACAGATGGCATGGTATGGGTAGTTGATTGCTCAGACTCTCGACGACTGGATGACTGTCGACATGAGCTACACGGACTTCTGAAAGAGGAGGTAAAGTTTCACATATAAGGTCTACATTAGATTTAGAATAGATCATAGCCAACAACTACAATTTTGCAGAAGCTAACGTGACTAATAAAAACGAAAACACCGGTACACGGCCAAAAAATTCAGAACTTGTGTGATGTTTGTTTTCCGTCTGCGAACTACATACTTCATCAACTGGCTGTTTTTTCGTACGTAGCAGGACTGTTGCATTAGCATGCACCTAGTATAGCATGTCATTTCGAGTTGTATGATTATGTCTTCGTTCTTCGCATTGTGGTTCAGAAACTTATGGGAGCCTCGCTATTGATTCTAGCCAACAAACAAGACATCAAAGGTGCAATACAACCAGAGGAACTTGCCAAGGTAAATTATCTTTCTTAATCAAAGAAGTCCCATGTGTAATATCCACTATTTATAATCTGCTGACTTGACCCCGGCAACTAAGGTTTGTCCTGCTATCTAGTACGTGCAGCGCTGTAACTCCACTTTTACATGTTTGAAACAGATCCTTCAACTGGAGGTTATGGATTCAAGCCGACACTGGAAAATTGTGGCTTGTAGTGCGGTAACAGGAGAGGGCTTGCTGACTGGCTTCGATTGGCTAGTGTCTGATATTGCCTCTCGCATTTACATGCTAGATTAACTTGTCAACATAGCACTAGCATTTCAGCCTAACGTGGGACACAACATCGATGGCATACGTGAAATATTTTCACAACCATCAATCAGGATCACAACATGCTGGCAATGCCAATCAGGAAACACCATTCGCATCCTTCATATCATTTACAAACTCCTCTGCAGCAGCCTTGAAGATTGTGCCACATTATCTAGATAGAACCAAGTCCGGAAGATTTCTAGTTACCGTAACGGTCCACATTACTGAAGTATTTGAGAAGTATGGAAATCAAGACCTAATTCTTCCTTCAAAATTCACGTCCTCAGGATCATGATGCAACTATCATCAATCGTTTTTGTCGGAGATGCTTATGCTAAGCATTTTAATACGTTTTCACAAAACAACCGAACCCCATCAAAACGAGGGTTTCCGACTCAGCATCCCTGCAGCAAAATGAGAATTCTGAGACTTTCAATGTGTCTCCTGGTCAGGTTGCGGACTGCGTCTCGACTGCTATGAATGCCTCGAGCATTACGAACCAATGCCATGCCAGTGCCATTTTGTGAATTCCATTCATCCACATGCAGGGCACACGCAGCGAATAGACCCCCTGGCATCCGTGTGCACTATTTAGACAGTTGCATGAGTGTGAATTGCCATGCCCCTTAAAACATAACACGCTGCAGGGTTTAAATTCCGGGGGAAGAGGTCGCTGATGGATGGGGATTCCGTTGGTGTTCCGCTGCGCTTCATTCATCCACAACTTTAGGTCTGAAGGTTAGGGTTTCTGATGGACCCCCAGACGGGGGGGTTATGAGCGAGACGACGCTCTTTCCAGGCCCCTCTTCGGTTGTCGTTGTCCTCTCATCTGCGGGTTCCGCTGCCAACAACCATGTCGAAACGCGGTATGCTTTCCCCTCTACTCCTTCTTCCGCTGTCTAGCTCATTTCTGCCTTCGTTTTCGCAACCTGGAGCAATCTGTAGGAATTTATGCGTGCGAGAGAAGTCGTGGATGGGAGCGATTGTGAGCAGTTTAGGATCAGGATTGCGGTTAGTGTGGTGCATGGTGATGGTATAGCTGCGTCGATGGGCGCGGCAGCTACATTTTGAGCGATTGAGGAGGTGTGTGGGAGGGGGAGCATGGAAGCGTGTAGGGTTGTGGCCAGGTTGAAGGTGATGGTTTCACTGGCAGTGGCTGGCATGGTGAGGTGTGAGGCGATGGAGTGGTTTCGTTGCATGAGGCGGTTGTCGCCTCAGGTGTGGGGCGTGGAAGTGTTGTGTAGGGTTTTGAATATGCGGTGATGGTGTGCAGGGAGGGGAGGTGCCTCCGGGAACAAGTTCCGGATGTCCCTGGGTCTTCCGGTGGGCGCGGTGGTGAATTGCGCAGACAACACGGGTGCGAAGAATCTGTACGTGATTTCGGTGAAGGGAGTGAAGGGGCGGCTGAACAGGCTGCCAGCTGCAGCAGTAGGAGACATGGTGATGGCCACGGTGAAGAAGGGAAAGCCGGATCTGCGTAAGAAGGTGATGCCTGCTGTGATCGTGCGTCAGCGCAAGCCATGGAGGCGCAAAGACGGAGTGTTCATGTACTTCGAAGGTATGCGGAGTGAGTGGGCGTCGGCAGTGGTTTAGAGTGATGTAGAACGGGGAGTGGCATGGTGAGAAGGATTGGGTTGAGTGACGACGCTTAGAAAGTGGGTGGGGGGTGGCAGTCCGGGAGAGAGATGGACGCAGGCAGGGGGAGGGGGAAGTGCACAAGCGCGGTGTCTTGCATGGTGGGGGGGTTCAGAATGTGAGGTGGGAGGTATGATGGTGAGCGGGGCTCAGATGGTGTTGTAGGTTGTGGTGGGATGGATAATTGTGGAGAGCTAACGTTGAGGGATGGTTTGGGTTTGTGCAGACAATGCTGGCGTGATCGTGAATCCGAAGGGAGAAATGAAGGGTGAGTGTATGCAGCCGGTGCATTGATGGTGCAGTCTGCAGATTGGGATGGGCCTAGGGGGGGGGGGTATAGCTGTAAGGTGGAGGGTGGATTGGCAGAGCTGATGAGGGTTGTGCGTGGTTGTAATGTGCAGGTTCTGCCATCACTGGACCGATCGGGAAGGAGTGCGCAGACTTGTGGCCGAGGATTGCGAGCGCTGCCAACGCGATTGTTTGAGAGGGTAGTTTGGGAGTAGGCAGTGGTGCGACGTGTGTGGCGAGCAATAGAAGGCCTTTGTATGGCGGCAATTTTGTGAAATACGATGGACAAACGTTCATGTTTCTTGGTGAAGATGTTGTGATTTGGAGTGGTGTGCACGACGTGTGGATGGGGTGTTGGACGTGTGGAAGTTGTGTGTAGCGTGTGCAAGCAAGAGCTGGATTGGGGAGGGAGTGGAAGTTGGGGGAGGTCTTGAGTGAGAGTCACATGAATGAAAGGAGTGTCGATGTCGTTGCAATTTTGGACGCGCTTGGGCACGGTAGTTTTGCTCACAGTAGAAGGATATAGGTGGTAATCGGTGGGGATTGAGGTTTTGTTTGTATATATCTGGATGGTGTATGAAAAGGAGAAGCTGACAATGGATCATGAATTTGAGCGGAAGCACTGATGAGGACAATGGTTGTAGGCAGGGTCTTTTATTTGTCTTTCGCGTAGCACTCGTTTACCTATGTCGGATTAATGTTATTACGGTGTCCGATTTCCATGAGTTATTTTTTCACTCTATTTTTCTATTGCCATTGCGCGATGCATGTGGATTGTGAATTTATTTTCCTTTCTGGGATTCTAAAGTCACCTGGGCATTTAAGGATGCTGTGTAATTATGTAGATTATCACCTTACGCATGAGGTTCCGGACAAAATACGACGACTATGTGTGTCCTATCTTTGCTTCGTTCAAAGCATATGTGGCAACCAGCCATTAGCGAATATTTAAAGAGGTAGATAGTCTTGAGTAGCAGCTGTACCATTTTCATATTAATATTTTAATACCCTAGTATTCCTTGCTGTTAATAGAGCAGCCCTACGATTTTATGAAGACAACTGCTCCATCAGCATCTCTGTCTGCTTCAGTCCTGAGTTAGAGCACCTGGATTATGTTGCTGTCGATGTCATTTTGAAGTAACCATATTGTATCGACTTGGAATTGAAATATTCAAACAGAGTAACCGTCTCTTTTCTTTGAAATATAGAAATCTCCAGAAGACTATAATAGTGATGGGGACCTCTCTTTCCAACTTTCGATAATCACTGCACATCTATTTCGTGTACTCAACGGGAGTCCTTCCTCATTGAAACGCGCGTATGTCCTCTACTCACACATATCACATTCCGATAATGTGAATCAAATGACTCGTAGTCTTCCAGCTTTCCTGTTGGACAACCGGAGAAAATCCTGAATTTGCCTGCAATTGCCCAAAGCCTCGATCTTCGAGGGTGTTGTGGGTGAACTTGTCCTTGATCCGGAAAGTGCTCGGCTGAGGGGTATGCTAACTCATACCAGCCCTCCAGTAATTTGAAACAATGGGAGGATTCCCGTTGCCTACATGTGAGAAACTTAATAACTGATGCTCCAGCAGGGGCAATTAAGCATGTGATTCTCTCATAACTTAGTCGAGTCGAAAAGTAATTGTAATATGTTCAATAATGTTTGATAATACAAAATTAGAGAAATGGATTTTCATCCCGCAAATCAACTAAGCATGACATAACAAAGCTTAAGTTCCAACAGGGTCAGGAGCGTCTTTTAAGAGCCACATCAATTGCAAGTGAATTAAGGATGAAATTTTTCTTGTCTTTCTTTTCGTTCCCTCCCCGGTTTGGCAAATAATTCGGTAAGCTGGTCAACGACGTTGTTTGCTGTGAAATGGATGAGTACCAACCCGGATTGCCAGAATTTCAATGCACTTGACCCAGTCTGAGAGACACGTCAGTGTCACTTAAATATATTAAACCACTGCATAGCATAACGAAGGCAACCAATCTCACATTTTGCACTTTTGTTCGTCAACTCACGAGATGAAATTGATGTTTGTTCTATTTAACAACACCGCTGGGCCCCGTTGTCTCATTACATTAACTGGGGAAATGACTATGTACATTTCTATAGCACACATTCTCGTGATCCATTCAGCGCTTATCATTTGCAGCCTGTGACAGTCTCCTGGAACTTTCTCACGAAGTTCACAAGTTGATCAACAGAGAATACAAGCTCTTCCTTCATCCACCATGGAGCTACCCTCACTAGTGTCCCCAATGACAAGTTCCTGTAGGAAAGCTCCAGTTCCTTGCCTACTTCCTCTTGAACATCATGATCCTTGAGAATTTCAAGCCTAAATCTGAAACCAGTAAAGGAGTGGCTAAGTATCAATGCCGGTGTCCCCCTTTGCTTCCTAGCAATCTCATCGGACACCACTTTCATATCAAGGAAAAAGCCTAGAATCTTCTGTAACATCTCTGACTCTGAAATCAATGCTGTAACTTCCTTGCGGTGCCGCTGCTGTTGTTCAAATTCCTTACGATGCCTATCCTGAAGTACAATTTCTTTACGCCGACGATCTTGGAATTCAACTTCCTTCCGATTCAGGTCCAGGAGTTCGACATTCTTTCGGTGCTGTTCCTGAAGTTCAACTAGGTGACGGTACAAGTCTTGAAGCTCATCTTCTCTACGATGCAAATCCTGGAGTTGAGCTTCATTGGAATGTGGGAGGGACTCACTAATGGGGTCAGGAAAAATGACAATAGCCTTGTTTGGGTCCGCAGCTGCGGAACCTTTTGGAGATCGTGCGTTCTTGAGTGAGCTATCCAGAGGTAACACAGATGCTACGCTTTTCTGAGTACTAACGACCTGCTCTTCTCCCGAGCGGCTGGGCTCCAAAAGGTCCAACACATTCTCTCGAGGTCCCTCATTCTCTGGAGCTGATACCTGAAGCTCATTATTGTCTTCAGTGCGTGCAATCTTTTGGTGTCCCCCAATATCCTGAGTTTCCTCAATCTCTTTATCCCGCACAATCTCATGAGGCTCAGTGTTTCCTACACGACATTCAGCTACCTCAGTTCTCAGTTGGCTCACCTGTTGCGATGGAAGTTGCACCTCGAGGTGAGCAGGCTCACCTTCAGCCGCTAACTTGTTAGTTGTGGGTGTTAAAGGGCGCGCCGGCGATGCGGCTACATCAGATTCACAACCGGCTTTCTGTAATCCTACCTCCGCACTTGTTTCGCAACCCTGAATATCGTCCTTCTGGCTCTTAAGGTATAGCGACTCCAACCATTTCATCCTCTTTTCAGCAGCGTCTAATGTCTTCCTGAGCTCCTGATTTTCGGAACATAAGTCCTGTATATATCCATCTGCCACTTGTTGAAACCTTTCATGAGAAAGTCGTTGCTCTTCGAATTGAGCTTCAATATCGATCTTCCTGGCCTTAGTTCGTGAATACTTGGCGTGAACGATGTCGTATGCCTTCAATAACGTTGGCAGAAAGACTTCTTTAGGAGCATTCTGTTCTATACTCCAACCCTCGTCACCCAGAAGACCCGCCATGGCGCTGTTGTTGTCCTCATCTTCACCATGAATACCAAAGGTTAAGTCAGGTGCTGGTGTGGTTATGGGATCCCCCCGCCACTGCAACGGCTCTTGTTCTTCCACTCCGACCATAGCCGTTGCAGTAGAAGCCGCCACAACGGGACCTGACTCTTTCACCCTTTGCACAAAAGATTCGACAATAGTTTGAACATTCCCCAACATGGACACTCGCTTAGACACAGTGTCAGCTCCAAGGACACGAGGCCCTGCAAGAAAACTGGAGCTGGCACTCCGTTTCCGGGGTGTCATGAAGGACAGCGGTACAGTTGCTCCCCCGCCTTCCGACTCTCGATACCCTCGCCTCTTCGGCTCCATGGCCTCTTTCCAGAAACCCTGGAAAAGCCACACCCCTAATGCGACTTGTACACTGTGTGGCTTGCAAACCCTGCTCTCAAACCCCTGACTCCCTCATTCAAAATAGTGCCTGCCCCTGTGTAAATCCAGCGCTAATGATGCCGCTCCAGTGAACGTAGAAGGAGCGAAAATGCAAAGAGGTAGGCAAAAGAGCAAAGGATGGACAGAGGTAGATTAAAGAAAACGAGAAAGAGAAGGGCAGTGCAGAGCGGACGAAAAACTAATAATGGAAGAAAAGGGCACGCCGGAGGTGGAGAAGGGGGAAAAAACGTCACAAGAAAAGGAACAAAGAGAACCCAAAAACTGAAGCAGATGAAGAAGAAGGGCAGGTGAGTGAGTGAGTGCGTGCGGAGGATAGGGTGGCGCACGGGGAGGGGGGGAGAGGAAGGGAGAGGGAGGCTCAGAGCAGCAGCGTGTTGGTGCGGTTCCGATTTGAATGCGGGCCCTGCTCTCCTCCTCTTGGTCTGATTCCGACGCTTCCGTTGCAGAGTACGACGCAACACAACATCTCCCGCGCTCCCTTATTTTTCCCTTCCCTTACAGTCTGTGGTGTGGTTTGATCCCTTCCTTCCTATCCCTTTCCCTGGTATATATGCTGTTGTTGCGCTGTGGAGCTGTGGGCACGATTGATTCTCCCGCTGCTTCCCTCCGCAGTCTCTCAATCAATCCTCTCTCTCTCCCTCCTTCCCTCCCGCTCTCTCGCTCTCTGTCTCTGTCCCTCTCTCTCTCGGTCTTCACCTCTGCTGTGCTAGGCTGTGTTGTGCCTCCTTCCCAGGGCCTGCCCCTCCATTCGGCTTGGCCCCTTCCCTTTCCTTTCTTTTCCTCCATCCGTTCTTTTCGCTTCAGCCCTCACCACGCGCTGTACCACCGAACCCACCGTCGTCCTCGTCGTCCTCATTTTCGTTTTCATTTTCGTCGACGTCCCCGACATTCCGTTCTCTGGGCCACGCGAGTTGCAAACCAAGCACCTAATACTCAAGGTATTTAAATTACCTTATATATATATATATATATATATGTAGATAAGGTGTTAATCGTATAATTCTTTCGGCATTTTTACCTTCATTTTTTAAAGAAACAGAATAAAATTCTATTTTTCTAATAGAAATGAGCATAATTTATTTTAAATTTTATTTTACATTTCATTATTAATATATCTTGCAAAAAATGAAAATTATGAAAAAATAATGTGAGTATATTAATTAAAAAAATTAAATGGTAGGATGTATTTTGAATATTAAATTAAATTAAAAATATTTTTTTAATAATTTTCATGAGTTTTATTTTATTACTTGTTATATTTCATATTTTAATTTTTTTTTAATTCTTAAGAAAGAAATAAATATTTTTTAGAATTT